TTGAAAACTCGTAGCTTGGTCCTTCTGCACAGGTACCGGCATCTCCAAATACTCTTGTCGAGAGATTTCATGACCCCTGCTGCCAGGCCAATCCGTCTACTGACTTCCTGGTCTGACAGCCCAGAGTCATGAACTGCACTATCGAGGTATATAAAACTCCTTGTGACAAGCACGTACCGACTGCACAGGGTCTCCTAGTAGGCCCCCAAAATCCTGGATCTTGGTCTTGGTCCAGGAGACCTCTAGCCCCAGGAGCTTCGCTTCATTGCTAAATGCATCAAGAGCCGCCACTAGGGTTTCCAGAGATTCAGAAAGAATAGCAACATCATCAGCAAAGTCAAGGTCGGTAACCTTGATATTGCCCAGAGTTCCTCCACAGTGACTTTGGACAGTAGCTCTACCCAGTATCCACTCCATGCAAGTGTTGAAAAGTGTTGGTGCAAGAACACAATCTTGCCTCACGCCTGAACAGGAAAGAAGCTCGACAGGCCCCGACCACACTTTACAGCACTTTCAGTGCCTGTATACAGGTTTGCTATTAGCCCAACAGTCCTTGTTGGAATTCCTCTCAGTCTCAGGATCTCCCAGAGTGATTCGCGATGCACCGTATCAAACGCCTTCTTGAGGTCGACGTAGGCTGCAAGCAGCCCACGTCCGAACTTACGACGGCGCTCTACAATGACTCGAAGCGCCAGGATGCGGTCTATTGTGGACTTACCAGGAGTGAACCCAGATTGCTCCGGTCTTTGGTGCCTCAGCAGGTGGTCTCTGATACGTCTCAGTAAGATGTGGGCGAGTACCTTGCCTGGTACACTGAGCAGTATAATGCCTCGGTGATTGCTGCAGTCTCACCGATCCCCTTTCCCCTTCCAGAGAGGGATGACCACACCCCTCAGCAGGTCAGGGGGAATGGTACCGGTCTGCCAGATGGCAGACAGGACTGCATGCAAGCCCCTTGCCATAGGTTCTCCACCAGCCTTTAACAATTCAGCTGGGATGCCACAAACACCTGCTGCTTTACCACTCTTCAGTTTGGAGATTGCCCCCTTGACTTCAGTCAGGGAGGGTGGATCCTCGCTAATGGGTGGGTCTGGCAGAGGAGTCTCAACATTACCAGCATCCAAGTTAACTGTTGGTGGATCAACCTGATACAGCTGCTCAAAATACTCAGCCCAACGCACACGCACCCCATCAGGATCTGAGATTACCTGGCCACTTGCTGAGTGGACTGCCGTCGTCTGTGAAGAGGGCTTGGAGTTCAGCTTTCTCAGAGCTTGGTAGGCAGGACGAAGGTCATTTACTAGGAAATGGCTTTCGACCTCCTCTGCAAGATTACTGATAAACTGTTCCTTATCCCTTCTCAACAGTGACCTAGTCCTGCACGCTAGAGAACGGTGCAAAATGCGATCCCCTGACAATCGAGCCGCACGACAAGCTTATATATATATATATATATATATATATATATATATATATATATATATATATATATATATATATATATGTATATATATATATGTATATATATATATATATATATATATATATATATATATATATATATATATATATATGTATATATATACATATATACATATATCTATATATATATATATATATATATATATATATATATATATATATATATATATATATATATACATATATACATATATATATATATATACATATATACATATATATATATATATATATATATATATATATATATATATATACGTATATATATATATATATATATATATATATATATATATATATATATATATATATTTTGTTACGCCGGCCACCTCTCTACCTGCCACCAACACGAGGCAGGCTAGGCAAACGACGTGTTATTCACAGGGTCGTGAACACTGAACAGCTCCAAGAGGCACCGAGTACCACACCGTCCCAAAACACCACGAGGGAAAACGCCACGGGCGAGGCAGGGCACGAAAGAAAAACTCACAATCACTGTCTTTCCTTTATTTACACAGTTATTTACCCGTACACTTTTCTATAGGCACAATACAGGAGGCAAACCAGCACATCACACTGCACAATACAGCATATAACAGGGCAACACAAAGTATATCAGGCTGGAGAAGGGCACACGCGAGGTCATCACAGCAGCGGCACCAAAACTCCACTCCCCCGTCTGCCCCCTTCCTCCGCCGCCGCGTCATCTTCCTGTCAAAACACGCCAACACGCGTTCGCACGCGCTCGCACACGTTTGCACAGAGACAAAGACCCTCTGGCGTAGCAATATATATCGCTACCTCATTGCAAGAGGGTCGTAACTCCAAATTCCTGATTTTTTAGGAGACGCATTTGAAAATTGCCAAGTCCTATGAATTTGATCATGTTTCACAAAACTTACCATCTTTATATTCACCTAATAAAGATGGTAAGTTTTGTTGTTTTGTGAAACATGATCAAATTCATAGGACTTAGCAATTTTCAAATGCGTCTCCTAAAAAATCAGGAATTTGGAGTTACGACCCTCTTGCAATGAGGTAGCGATATATACATATATATATATATATATATATATATATATATATATATATATATATATATATATATATATATATATATATATATATAGATATATATTAATATATATATATATATATATATATATATATTAATATATATATATATATATATATATATATATATATATATATATATATATATATATATATATATATATATATATATATATATATATATATATATAAAGAGACATTATCCGAAGACACCCCTCTTACTATATTCGGGGGTAATTTTCTCTGTATACAAATGAAAATACAGAAAACGAGAAGTAAGTGAATGACGTAAATGAACACAAACTTCTATAAACTGCCTTAGAGTCCTGAATGGCCATTGTCATCACGAATACCTTCTGACGAGAAAAAAACGAAGCTAAATTGGTATTCTTGAGGACAGCGAAACGTTAAAAGCCAAGTAAAGCCAGGTCTTTCTTTTTAGATGCCAACCACGCCATATAAAACAATCTGAAATTCAATGATGATGATGCAGCTAAACAGGTGACGGGCATATTATCCAGTGACATTTGTTTTTTTTTTGTGGGAAGCACAATAAAGCAAATCTATCACGTTTCTTTTCATAAATCATATCACCAAGAGCGAAGTATATTTTTACTCCAAGACGTAGTAAAGCTTGGATTAGATCCAAAGAGAGAGAGAAAAAAAATCTGCATCTCGTACACTAGATTTCGCTTCCACTCCCTAGATGGCGCTAAAAAAAAAATAAATAAAATAAATAAATATATAGTAGCATCTAGCAACTTATTGCCATCACCGATTTCCCCCCGGAGTTTCCCTAGATGGTGCTATAAAATAAATAAGATATATGGCAGTATCTAGCAGCTCATCTCCATCACTGATTTCCCCCGGACTTTCCCTACCTCTTTATAACAGTCAACTAAAACGTAAATACTCCAGCGCGATGATAAATAGATTTCACTTTCGTAAATAGATTTCACTTTCACTCCATAGATGGCGCTAAAAAGAAAGAAAAATAAGTATATAGCAGTATCTAGCAACTCCTCCCCATCACCACTTTCCCCCCGGAGTTTCCCCCCCTCTTCATGACAGTCAAGTAAAACGTAAATACTCCAGCGCGATGGTTGTTGCTTCTCACGGTTTCCAAGTACAAAGGTAATTAATCCCTTCTGCTCTGCTCTTTAGGCCTCGTTAGGGATCTCGGTACGTAGTGCTAGATTCGTGGGATCGATAGACACGCAGAAGACTGGAATTAGAGAGAGGATAAGTGAGTGTGATGAGAGACGCGTGGAGGTTCATTCCTCTCGGTCGGTAGATTTCACGTTTATTTAACTCTAAGAAATGGGGGTTTGGCGAGAGGAAATTTAAAAAATAAATAAAAAAAACGTGATTTGGTCGACGGGGGGGAACCATAGGGTCACCCAAGAAGAAGCCTAAAGAAAGAACGTCTGGAGTGATATTATTCCCTGTGATAGAACGGACGGACTAGGGAGCTGTTTTTTTTTTTTTTCTTGTTTTGTTTTCGCTGTTTTCGTGGATCTGTGTGGATATTGGAAGCTATTTTGTTTTTATTTTCTTAGAAGGAAATGGGTGTTAAAATGTTCATTCGTTACAAGGCGGATATAGGTGCGGTTTTGCGGGTGTTTTGGGCTTTGTCGTCTTAACCTTGCATTGGTAAACTAAACCTGTTCACGTTTTGACCAGAATTTGACGCTTATGTGGTGACATCGGTGTGATAAATTTACTGCTACTCTAATGTAGTGAGACAGTTATATTAAGACTGACAAGATAACATTGTGCTGTAAAATGATAATATGAAATGTAATTACTGGGTTTTGGAAGTCGTATTTTCTCAGTGATTACATAGAATGTGCCCTTTTGCAGTGTCAGTCTGGAATAGGACTTTGAAAATACAGGAAAGGAAGTGCTACAGCCCAGCCATCAGAAGTGATATATTCCGAGTTTCGATTAATCTGCGCAAATAAAAAGTGATATGATAACAGATTTTTTTTTTTCTCCCCCTTAGTTTATGACAGCCATCAACTCTAACATAAGTTGAGTCAGTTGATGTCTAAATGTCATCCAATTGCAACCATTTGTAACAAAATCATTCCACCCAATAGTCTGTGTACTAGAATGCCCCAAATATGCTCATCCACCTGCAGTACCACAGATATGTACTATATGCCACAATTGAATTCTTATCCCTGCTCTTATAAATTTCCATGGTGAGTTATTGTTTTTCCTAAGTTTTATATTTTACTTGAGTGCAGGCAGAGACTAAAACTTGGTGTGGTATAGGTTTAACTCCATCCTGACAAGTCACACGTACACACATCATTACAAATCGTTTGGTCTGTGGAATATGGTTGTTAACATAATGCACCAGAGTGAGTAGAGCATGTAGCAGACTCACACACCCAGCATCTAGTCTAGAGTTTATCACACGGAGATTTCTGATACCCGGTCCCATTGGGTTAACCCCCTGCGATCAGGATGACGTCACCATCACATCATGAAAGAATTTGGTTCGAGAGGCAGGTGATGTGAACATACCATTGTGGGAAAATTCGGCTGTGAGCAGGATGACGAGAACTTGCCATCATGGGCGTTTCAGCTGAAAGCCAGGGTAACGGGAAAGACTCACCACAAGTGCACATAGCTCTTGGAGGGTGATTAGACTCATTTGGTATTTAGGAAGGGTTTTTGTCTGAGACACGTCTCATCTTAGAGATTTCCTACACAGGTTTTCTGATATAGAAATTTAAAAATCATGGCAACTAAATCAGCCATCATTCTTTAATAATAGATGGTTGTTATTCTCTTTATATATTTATTTATTTATTTATTTCCTCTTGATGCTGGGAAAGCAAATATGTATGCCATATCCACTGTGATTTTAGTTTTATAATTTTCTTTACACCAAGATAGTTCCACATGTGCTTAGTCACCAGGGAGTCAGAATGCTTGTAGTATTTTTTTGTATGATTTTTATTACTATCATTACTAATTTTATTGTTATTATGATTATGAAGTTATGAATAATGGTAATAGCAATTAAAGATTAAAAATATAAGTATTTTCAAAAATCAAGGACAAGAGTAAACATATGAGTTCAAGTATGACTAGGAATTGAATGCTTGGTGATTAAACTCTTGTTAAGCCTTGTATGTGTAATTAAAAACTAATATACTAAATGGTAATTATTTACAACATGACTGCACCCATCAGTTTTTAACTCGAAGGTAATTATTTTAGGGGTCCCTTGTGCTATTGCGACTTTTAGGGGGAGGGATGTGGGTGAATTTGCACACCGTAGGTATTTTAAAAGTTAAAATAGAAAAATGAAAAACCCATGCCAAGAATTAAATGTCATATAATACAGAAAATGGAAAATAGAAAATTCTGAGACAAGATTTAGCCATGGAGGGTCTGATACGGTTCAATGCAAACAAACAAATAAATGAACCCCATCTTGAATGCACAAACAACAATCTCTGTATGTTAGCCAGTAACCTTCCTATCCTGGGAACTCCACCCCTGGCCTCTATCCCAGTTGCCACATTTCCCATATACCTTGGTTTACTTTATGGTTGAAGTGAAAGTAGCAGGGGACTGACTAATTATAAGCATATTTCTGGAACACGATTATTGTATTTCATCAAATTTAATATTAGTCCTGAGATCATAACCATTGTCTTCACAAAAATGTTAGGAAAGAACTTGGAAACACAAATAGCAGTGTAAACAAGGTTCACTTTTGAAATGAACAGTGAGTATTGTGACAACGAAACTGGCAAATTTGCCCATAGATGACTGCGCATGTATAGATGTAACAAGCATTTCTAGTTTTTAAAAATGTGTATATGATATTGGAGAACACATATATCTAAGGAAAGAACATTTGATAAATACATATTTTGGTAAAATTTTATATAAATGAAAATACAGAAATACATTAAAAGTGCAGTGGATTTCTAAGAGACTGAATCATGACATCACGAGCTACATGCACCAAGACAGTCTATGTTCGATTACTGTACATCTAAGTTGTTCGCTGCAAGGGGAGGAAGGCTGGATTGGACTTGACATACCTGTAAAACTTTCCCTCATTTTCCAGATAGGTGTAAGTCAAGATGGCTGAGAAGCCTGAGAAGGATGCTGTGATCCGAACACTGCTGGCGTCAGCTCCCCAGAACTTATCTCTATCACAGCCCAGCACTCCAACACAGTCACCACACAAGGTTTGGATAAGTTTGGATAGCAGTGAATGTGATTATATCTCCTTGATGCATGCTGTTTTATGAAAACGTATGTATTAATGGATGTATATGAATAAATAGATTTTATATATGTATGTGTGTCTTCATATATTTCTACACATATTGATAGATGTAGATATAGATGTATATCCATCCATCCATATGACAACACTGATCTGATTAATTTCCAGCAGGCTGGGAATTCAGGTGTCATTCACCCGTCCTTCCGTCGGCCGAGTTCAGCATCACGACCCACTTCTCCACGTGCTCTGGGCTCCTCACACTCAGAATCAGACGCAAGGATGAAGAATTCTGGGGATCCACACGCAAGGTTCACATCAATGCTCAGACTGGCCAGTGGGCAGGTACGGGATGTAGAGGTGATGTTCGAAGTAGGTTTTGTTGGTACTGTGATCTTGTGGACAATATCATAGTCACATTGATTAATATTTTGAGAAGAATTACATATTTTAAGGTTGTCGTCTAGATATATTAGTAGTAGTAGTAGTAGTAGTAGTAGTATTGTTGTTATTGTTATTATTTTTATTGCATAGGAAAGTGAGCCAGATGTTGTGCTGATGGATCACGCTTATGCTCGGCCGTGGAATTGGCGGCCAGAAGCCTCACATGCTCGACCTAGGAAGATGCTCTTCATGTCAAAATCTTCTCGGCAAAACCGCAGCAGTCATAGGTTGGTATTTCGTATTTTCAAAATTTTTTAGTATGTTTTATGGATTTCTTTGTTCGCATGTGGTATTGCCGATGCCTCTATTCACCCCCACCCCCCCTAAATACAATGATAGTTAATGTCTGATCAAGAATTAGTATATTGCAGCATCCTACTGTAGAATACATTGCATGTGAAGTATAAATATTGAGCTTCTCAAATCTTAAAGCTTTTCTTGTACTGTTCTTGAGGATACATCCCATAAGAAGAATACTGAAAAGATTTAAAAGCTTTGAATCTATGATAAGAATATAAATACACAGGCTAGTGACCTGGTTGTCTTGTTTGCTGGCAGATATTTATTGAAATACAAAATATAGGTGGTACTTGTCATCTGCTAGTCTTGCATCTGATTTTTTTCTAACAGTGGTTCAAAGATATATTTTATAAATTCGCATGCTTCTAGTTTAAACAAACAGCCATATTACACAATCCCTATTTGGCACATGTGTGCATGTATATGCATATATTCACAAATTTTATTAATTTTTGAGGAATGTTATTGATTTAAATTTATGGAAGGAGGAGTGTCTTGCAGGGCAATTATAAGTAATTGATTGTTGAATAGCAAAAAAGTTTAAAGTTTTTATATAAAAAAAAACATAATTGGAAGGAACATCAGAAAACTAAAACATCACCTCCTTTACCCGCAGCAGTTATGACGAAATAATTGACGTGGACTCAGAGCCATCCCCTCCACCCCCACTGCCCTACGATCTGAACAAGGCCCAGCAGGTGATGAGCGAGTGTGAGCGCCACGTGGTCTTCGCCCGTCTTGACCAGATCAAGGCAGAGGTTCCCCACCAGGAGAGGGAGGTGCCCGAGGAGGAGGAGGAGGATTGGGAGGAGAAGATACCAAAGTGAGTGTTGGGGATTTTGCAAGCTGTTTGTCCGGGTGGATGATTGAATAGAGAATGGATTGGTTGAGTGGAAGGATTGAGTGCGAGAGAGGGAAAGGGATTGAAGTAAAGGAACAAATAAATGGATTAATGTGTAGTTATTGGCTCATGTCCCATGTTGTGAGTGTGTGCATTGCGTGATAGTTATTGTTTTATGGTTAACTAAGGATGACTTGTAAAAGAGTGAAAGAGGACCTAAGGATATTTGAGTCAAGTTAACATGAAAGGAACTGATTGAGAAATTAGTCCGATGTTGAAATAGATGGTGCAGAAGGTTTGGTTTGTACCCCCCTTCATTTGAAAAGTAGCGTCTGGAACCAAGAAACGAACTACCTAATATCTTCATCTTATTATTCTTATTAACAATTGTCCGGTCTCCACTTATTTGGACTAACTTAACCCAACTATGATAGGCATCTCACCAGTGAGATGGCCAGAAAATGGACAGTAACCAGCTTTAGCTCCAATAAGGTTATCCCAGCACTTGTGCTTCAGGTGTAGGTCCCTATTAATGGCGCTATAGCTACTATGCAGAAATTAGGGTGTTTATCACTTACCTATTGTTGGGTTAAATATGGTATGATTATTCCTAAGCAACAAAAAACTGCCTATTACAAAGTAAAAAATAGTTTTTACTTTGCTGAAGTCAATACTCAGACATATCTCCTTTTCCCACCAGGATTGGATGGACAGAACCTCAGATGGCCCTGTTTAACAAAGTTGTACAGATCCTGGACTCTGACAGGCTGGCACGCCTCAGTCTCAAAGATTCAGATAATGAACCGGTGAAGAGGAGGGCACAAGTTGGTAAGTTTCTGAACATCTGAGACACATCACTAACATGGAAATGACACTTCTCTGACTTGTCTCCTGTGTACTACTGGTGTGTGGCATGGCAGTAACTGATCATAGATAAATCTCTGACATCTCCCTGTTATTTTTCTGATGGCTGACAAATTGCCAACAAATGCTAGATAAGACTTGATACCAAATAGAATTTGGGGGGGGGCATTTGTGACTTTCATGGACATTCTTTGCTATGCATATTTATGTGTATGTGTAAACTGTTGAAAGTCTTTTGAAATATACAAAATTATCTTGAGAACAGGTGCTGATATTATAGCTTAGATTTAAGCTTTAATTATCCATAAAGAGTAAAGATATGGAAATCTTTGCTGTATTTACCATTCATTGTCTTCTTTATCTTTGTTTTTGTTCCTTCTCATGTTCCTCCTCTCCTACATTATCTTCTTTGGGCAAGATGTAGCCATTTTTTCACAGCTATTAATATTCCTTTAGATAGAATTCAAGAAAATCCCAAACAAAAATCATTAAAACTCATTGCTTTTCTCTCCTCCCCTCCACCCAGACAAGACAGCGGCCAAGTTCAGACAAGCTTTAGCAAGAGTGAACTGGGACTCCAAGCTGACCCAGTGGCTGCACTCCATCCTTCTCCAGTACCTGAGTCTTCCTTACCTGGCTGCCTATCTTGACATCCTCCAGGTGGGAATTTTCCTGACCTTTTGTCGACAGCCTTTTGTTTTATTTTTGTGTGTTTGTTTATTTATCTGTGATGCTTCACTGAATTTCATAAGATTTGGGTTTTGTTCTAGAATATATTGTTAATGTTTTGCTTTTTTTTTCTTCTTCTTCTTCGTCTTACTGTTGTTATCATAATCATTACCAATATTATTATTATTGTTATTATTATTATTACTATGATTGTTGTTTTTATTATTATCATTATTATTATTATTATTATTATTATTATTATTATTATTATTGTAATACAAAAGGAAAAGAAAATGAATGTTTGTTCAGTACTAGAGATATCTTACTTATTTTTCTTTCTTTTCCTCTCTTCAAGCTCATAAGAGATATCTACTAAAACAAAGTAACCTTTTTCTCTTCTCTTCCCCCCCCCCTCCATACTTTGCCCCACACAGACTCTAAAGTCCAAAATTCCAACCCTGGTGGATAAGATGGTGGCCCTAAGTAGCACCCATAGAGGAGCCAGCGTGGAGGCCCTGAACCTCCTGTTGAAGAGACCGTGGGACCCAGCTGTGCCCTCGCTCAATCAGCACAAGCCGGTAATGTTATGAGTTATGATTTTTTGAATTTTGTTTGTTGATTTATTACACTGAGTGAGGGATTCTCTCTCTCTCTCTCTCTCACTCTCACTCTCTTTCTCTCTCTCACTCTCTCTCACTCTCTCTCTCTCTCTCTCTCTCTCTCTCTCTCTCTCTCTCTCTCTCTCACACTCTCTCTCACACTCTCTCTTTCTCTTTTCTTTCTTTCTTTCTTTCTTTCTTTCTTTCTTTCTTCTTCTTCTTTTTTTTTTTAGTTTCATTTAGTTTTGTAACACTATAAGTGTGGTATAGTCATGTACAGTATTAGTGGATTAGGTTGGCACCCTCTATTGAAACATACAGGAAAATTGGTGCTAACTCTGTCCACCACAACACTCGTACACTATCACACAAGTTCATATAGTGGTGTCTGGCAACACTACCACTCGGCTATGCCTGGTGGTGTGTGTGATCTCAGCGGCCCATAGGCAGTGACATGGGAGGGAATATATATGGATGCCCGAGGAATCTTTGGAGTCTTTTTTTTCTACACTCTGTTTTTTGCCTTTAGTTCATCACAGAATAGATGATAGAATAACCATGCATTTCTTTTGGGATAGTTTTCAACAATTTAGCTCATATGTCTCTAGTTTATGTGTATACCCTTTTCAATGCCTTTCCTTATTATCAACATTTCCCCCTCTTGCAAACAGCGTAAACTGGAAGGGTCTGCAATCATCATACAAGTTCCAAGTGGTCCCCCCTCAAGCATCCCTCAGGCACCGCGGAGAATACGCTTCTTCAATGCACAGCTCCACCACATGGCCAAGACCGTTCCAGTCATGATTACACCAGGTCAGACATGTTTAAGGGTTTTATATTAGCTGCTAGAGACAAAGGTGAAATAGTTTATTCGGTTGATTTTTTTTGTGGATTTCTGTGATGTGTATGTATATAGTGCTATTGTGTTCTTATGTTTCTTGTTTTTCTTCAACTGAAACATATTCATAGTTTGGGAAACACACCCATTTCCTGAAATTATTAAATTACATATTCCAGAGAGCAATGATGCTAGTACTGTGCTGGAGCAGATACTGTCTGAAGTGCGAGCACGGGTGGTGGAGTGCAAGAGCCAGTACCCCAATAGTCCCATTGTGCTGCTGGGCTGGGGCATCGGGGCTGTCATTGCGTGTCATGTGAGTATGCACAGGCTTTCATATTTTCAGTGTAAAAAGTTTGGAAGGCTTTTGAGTGTGGGAGTTTTCCTTGAAGTAATTGAGGATTGTTTTTCAGCTTTATATGAAACTGGATTCTGTATTAGGAGGGATAATATTTGATGTGTGTGTGTGTGTGTATTTTCATATTAATATACATATATCCATGTTTGTGATTGTGTACAGATAGTCCCCTACTTAACCCCTTGCCGCCGGGTGACGGCGATACGCGTGTAAACAAATCGCTCGAAAGGTGGCGTGCGGCCAAACCAGCCGGCGGCGCGCCAAAGCGCGGCGAGCCAGTGATTCGGGCTGACGCCCCGTACTCCTGCGCTCAAAGTCGGCGCGCTGCCTTTGTTTGCCAGAGCGTAGAGTTTTATTTTCCTTTTGTACACCCGGCGTCATTGGGTTAAGAACATTCTACTTACGCACATTCCGTACATACAAACTTTTTTTTAAATACTTAAGTCCAAAAAATTATTTGAAAGATGCTAGCAAACTTCAAATTTCCCGGGCGCGAATATAGTTCACAAGTCTGCCACGCCTGTACTGTTTGGTTATAGTTTTGTATTATTATTATTATAATTTTTAATTTTTTTACATATTCCAGAGAGCAATGATGCTAGTACTGTGCTGGAGCAGATACTGTCTGAAGTGCGAGCACGGGTGGTGGAGTGCAAGAGCCAGTACCCCAATAGTCCCATTGTGCTGCTGGGCTGGGGCATCGGGGCTGTCATTGCGTGTCATGTGAGTATGCACAGGCTTTCATATTTTCAGTGTAAAAAGTTTGGAAGGCTTTTGAGTGTGGGAGTTTTCCTTGAAGTAATTGAGGATTGTTTTTCAGCTTTATATGAAACTGGATTCTGTATTAGGAGGGATAATACTTGATGTGTGTGTGTGTGTGTGTGTGTGTGTGTGTGTGTGTGTGTGTGTGTGTGTTTTCATATTAATATACATATATCCATGTTTGTGATTGTGTACAGATAGTCCCCTACTTAAGAACATTCTACTTACGCACATTCCATACATACAAACTTTTTTTAAATACTTAAGTCAAAAAAAATTGATTGAAAGATGCTAGCAAACTTCAAATTTCCCGGGCGCGAATATAGTTCACAAGTCTGCCACGCCTGTACTGTTTGGTTATAGTTTTGTATTATTATTATTATTATTATTATTATTATTATTATTATTATTAATTTTTTTACATATTCCAGAGAGCAATGATGCTAGTACTGTGCTGGAGCAGATACTGTACTGAAGTGCGAGCACGGGTGGTGGGAGTGCAAGAGCCCAGTACCCCAATAGTCCCCCCATTGTGCTGCTGGGCTGGGGCATCGGGGCTTTACATTGCGTGTTCATGTGAGTATGCACACGGCTATTCATATTTTCAGTGTAAAAAGTTTGGCAGGCTTTTGAGTGGGGAGTTTTCCCTTGAAGTAATTGAGGATTGTTTTTCAGCTTTATATGAAAACTGGATTCTGTATTCGGAGGATAATATTTGATGTGTGTGTGTGTGTATTTTCCATATTAATATACATATATCCATGTTTGTGATTGTGTACCAGATAGTCCCCTACTTAACCCCTTGCCGGCCCCGGGGTGACGGCGATACGCGTGTAACCAAATCGCTCGAAAGTGGCGTGCGGCCAAACAGCCCGGCCGGCGCGCCAAAGCGCGGCGAGCCAGTGATTCGGGCTGACGCCCCGTACTCCTAGCGCTCAAGTCGGCGCGCTGCCCTTTGTTTGCCAGAGCGTAGAGTTTTATTTTTTTTTTTTTTGTTTTTTTTTTTTTTTGTTTTTTTTTTTTTTTTTTTTTTTTTTTTTTTTTGTTTTTTTTTTTTTTTGTTTTTTTTTTTTTTTTTTTTGTTTTTTTTTTTTTTTTTTGTATTTCACTGTAATTGTGAATTTCTGAAATATATTCCATAGTTTGGGAAACACACCCATTTCCTGAAATTATTAAATTACATATTCCAGAGAGCAATGATGCTAGTACTGTGCTGGAGCAGATACTGTCTGAAGTGCGAGCACGGGTGGTGGAGTGCAAGAGCCAGTACCCCAATAGTCCCATTGTGCTGCTGGGCTGGGGCATCGGGGCTGTCATTGCGTGTCATGTGAGTATGCACAGGCTTTCATATTTTCAGGGTGAAAGGTTTGGAAGGCTTTTGAGTGTGGGAGTTTTCCTTGAAGTAATAGAGAATTGTTTTTCAGCTTTAAATGAAACTGGATTCTGTATTAGGAGGGATAATATTTGATGTGTGTGTGTGTGTGTGTGTGTGTGTGTGTTTTCATATTAATATACATATATCCATGTTTGTGATTGTGTACAGATAGTCCCCTACTTAACCCCTTGCCGCCGGGTGACGGCGATACGCGTGTAAACAAATCGCTCGAAAGGTGGCGTGCGGCCAAACCAGCCGGCGGCGCGCCAAAGCGCGGCGAGCCAGTGATTCGGGCTGACGCCCCGTACTCCTGCGCTCAAAGTCGGCGCGCTGCCTTTGTTTGCCAGAGCGTAGAGTTTTTTTTTTTTGTTTTTTTTTTTTTCTTTTGTACACCTGGCGTCATTGGGTTAAGAACATTCTACTTACGCACATTCCGTACATACAAACTTTTTTTAAATACTTAAGTCCAAAAAATTATTTGAAAGATGCTAGCAAACTTCAAATTTCCCGGGCGCGAATATAGTTCACAAGTCTGCCACGCCTGTACTGTTTGGTTATAGTTTTGTATTATTATTATTATTATTAATTTTTTTACATATTCCAGAGAGCAATGATGCTAGTACTGTGCTGGAGCAGATACTGTCTGAAGTGCGAGCACGGGTGGTGGAGTGCAAGAGCCAGTACCCCAATAGTCCCATTGTGCTGCTGGGCTGGGGCATCGGGGCTGTCATTGCGTGTCATGTGAGTATGCACAGGCTTTCATATTTTCAGTGTAAAAAGTTTGGAAGGCTTTTGAGTGTGGGAGTTTTCCTTGAAGTAATTGAGGATTGTTTTTCAGCTTTAAATGAAACTGGATTCTGTATTAGGAGGGATAATATTTGATGTGTGTGTGTGTGTGTGTGTGTGTGTGTGTGTGTGTGTGTGTGTGTGTGTGTGTGTGTGTGTGTGTGTGTGTGTGTGTGTGTGTGTGTGTGTGTGTTTTCATATTAATATACATATATCCATGTTTGTGATTGTGTACAGATAGTCCCCTACTTAACCCCTTGCCGCCGGGTGACGGCGATACGCGTGTAAACAAATCGCTCGAAAGGTGGCGTGCGGCCAAACCAGCCGGCGGCGCGCCAAAGCGCGGCGAGCCAGTGATTCGGGCTGACGCCCCGTACTCCTGCGCTCAAAGTCGGCGCGCTGCCTTTGTTTGCCAGAGCGTAGATTTTTTTTTTTTTTTTTTTTTTTTTGTATTTCACTGTAATTGTGAATTTCTGAAATATATTCCTCTATGATATCAAAACATTTCATGGACATTCATGTTTGATATCAATATGCAATGTCATTTGTATAGAAACTAGCCAATTTTGAAATTATTAGTCTCAAACAGCAGTTTACTCGACAGTGTGGATGACATGGAGGACATTCGCATGCGTCTGCGTGTGGAGACAGGGCTGGTAGTTGTAGGGGGAGCTGACTCACATCTGCGCCTCTCATGCCAGAAGCGGCATATGGAAGGTGTCACACAGTCCATGGTGGACAGATGTATTGTTGTAAGCATTTATAATCTTTTCTAATGTTTTTCATAATTATTTCAGTCGTAAAGTTGATTTATGTAGAAATTTATTTTGGTTATCGGAGAGGTAAATCCCCAATAATACTCCTTTTGCTTGACTACAACATACCCAAAAGAGGACATTTGAGTATTTGTAATGAAATCAGAGGGTGTCACTAGTCCAACTTGTTTATGAGGGGGACTTCTTTCTCAGAAATCAACATCTTGAAGTTGTATGCAGTTCACTTGACAGGATCAGGTAACAGGGAACTCTGGCTTACCACCAGTACACCTTACATAGAGGTCATGTTCAAAGGGCTAATTATTTTTAAATTACTGAACAGGTAAATCAATTGCAATACTTTGTGAAACAGGGAAGTCAGTCTTGATAAGATCAATGTGTTTTTCCCCAGGATGAAATTGGTGACTTCCTCTCTCACCTGCTGAGTGAAAGCAGTGGCAGCTCATCCTCAATTTACAGCCCTTGTCCCTCCCACAGTCACTATGTGACTTCATCCACTGTCTACCCACACTCCTCAGTCACCTCCTCCTTCACCAACCCCCTCCCTCCCAAGTCACAACGCAAGGAAGGGACTCGCAAAAGGAAGACATCCACAGGCAGTTCCCTGGATGGCTCTGCACCTCCTTCCCCTGCTAAGATATCCAGACCAAGTGAGTGGAGTGGGTGTAGGGTAGAAAGAAACCCGTTGGAAGGGGAAATTGTTTATTTGTGTAAGAGGAATCTTGATATGAATAACATACAGCTTTGCAGTGTTAGTAAATTGTTTTGTTTGTTATAAAAGTAGACATTAAATTCAAAACAAAATACTGTGAATAATTTTGCCCAGCTTACTGCACCAATGCACACGTTATACATGGAAAGACCAAACTCCCAAAAATAGACTTATCCAGATAACCCACTAATCACCCTGCTTTTAATCAGGCACACCCATCAGCCTGATGGGAGGTAGCCTGAAGATTCCAGTGGGCGTTTCAGCTCTGTCATCACCGGGCCTCGCATACAGCAGTGGTGACTCCTCCCACACAACTCCAAGCACCTCTCCCTACCACCCCTCTGCGAGCCATACCCCCCACAGTGACGGTTCCTCAGCCTCCAACCCTGGAACGCCCCGTACCACAGGTGGTAAATACAAGTTGACAAGTCGCTCTTTGATGGGGAAAAGACGACCGCTGCCGTGCCCGAAAAGTGCCATCCGTAAAAAAGGTTGTAGGACTCCCTGACAGGCTTTGGGAAAGAGAATTAAAATGGGCTGTTTGTTAAGGATAAAGATTTAAAGTGATTTATCTTCAAGATAATTATTAACAATGTGTTCGGAATGTAAAGCATTCGTCTTAGTATGTTTCACACCACAGATTGTACATTCAGGCAGTGCCGTATACATTTGGTTTGGTTACAAGGCAAGAGGAAAGAGCATTGAACTTACAGGGACCCTCTCATTTTTTTCCATATGTTATAGTAGCGATTTATCTCTCTGTAGATTTTTGTTCTAGCAATTTTGCTCCTAACCATTTCATTCATATGTAATAAGTCTTAAAGCTTGATTTGGATTTTAAAAATCTGCCATTGATAATTTTTTTGATTGAAAAGTGTAAAAAGAAAAAAAAAATGTGAAAAGAAGGATGCCTCAGTTTATTCAAAAATACATTGGTTTGGATTTCCCATGCAGTTTTACCTACTATTCATGTTAAAAAGCTTTCTAATATTTTTTTAATTTTCACAACAGAGAAACCTGCTTTTGTGTCATATTTAATTTTTTTTTTTATGGAAAGTATAAGCAAAAATATCTAAACATGGAATGAACCAAGTTAATGTTTTCAATGATAAGGTTAGTGAAGTTTCATCTACACCAGCTAAAAATTACAGCTTGAACAAAGGCTTAAGGAAGGGAAATGAAATATGAAACAAGATATTTGCATCTCAGTGTATGCATGCATCTTTTCATTTGTCATCTATAGGGAATTTTTCTATATTTCAGCAAAAACACATCAACTTTTTTTTCTTTCTTCTTTTCTTTTCTTTTTTAGGTTGACCTTCTTCTGGGTTATGATTTCTGTCCCCCCCCCCTTTTTTTTTTCTTTTTTCTTTTTTCTTTTCTCCTCTTCTTTTTCTTTTCTTTTATTGTTTTTTTTTTTTCATTTCATTTAATTTCTTTCCATTTCTTTTTTCTTTTCTTTCTTCTTTTCTCTTTTCTTTTCCTTTCTACTCCTTTCCTTTTCCTTCTATTCCCTTTCCTTACCCTTCCCTTCCCATCCCTTCCCTTCCCTTCCCTTCAGAGAGTTGTTTGGACTTGTCCATTGCACCCCTTTTCAGTTTTAACCCAATGCCGCTGGGGAAAATGAATTAAAAAATGGGGAAAATGCTGTGCTCGTTCTTAATAATTTTTGTGAAATGTCTCTGCACATAATGGCTCTGCTAGTGCTTAGCCACAAAGGAGTCAGTAGACTTTGTATATTTTCGTAAATCAAAGTAAAGGGTAAACAGGCGAGACAAACAGTAAAAACAATCAAACAAGTAAACTCACAGTGGGCATGGCATACACATACAGATCATGCCCATCGACATTGGGTTAATATTGTATACATGTAGCTGTGCATGATTCTTCATTTCCCTGTTGATGAAAAAACTACATATTATATGCATATAATTGGGAGATACAAATGAATATGCAAAAGTAAAAAAAATAGAATAAGTGCATCCTAACCATGTTTTTTTCTGAAATAAAGAAAATACAAACATCTCAAACATTCCTAACTTTCAAAATAGAGAGGGTCCCTTAGCAATAGAATATATTTAACCACTTAAAGTACCTGGTAGAATCTAATTTTTTACTTGTATTTGTGGATGGACATATTTTTAATAATATTTCATACAGAAGGACTATTTATATATTTATTTGTCAATTTAGAGAATAGTTTTTGTTGTATAGTGTTCATAAGGTCATAAGATATATTTTGAAAATTAAAAAGATCTCAGTTGTGCTGTCTGTCTTTTCAAAAAAGACATCCGTAAAATATTTGCTTTGTAGATCAGAACTACTTCTAAGGCTACAGAATTTATAATTGCATATATGTTTACCAAGAGTGATGATACTAAATTGTTAAAGGATAAAGTACAGGAACTTGGCTTTGCACCTTTGTATGTGAAATAGTATCTACTTAAGATATTGTTGACATATTCCTTGATATAGAAATTGCTCGTATCAGACTAGTCTTTAACAACTGCCTGCATCAGAAGTTTAATCTTAAATATATGGTGGTTGGGGTTGTTTTGGCAGAGAAAATAAAAGAAACCTTGTGTCTAAGGCTTCAAAGTTATGTCTTGTTTGCTTGCTCCAGTTTTATTTTAAGTTTGTCAAAAGAAGGTTCATTGGTTGACTTGGGTAAGGTAACTAGTGGAGCTTCAAGGTTGAGTTTTGAATGCGTCTGATGGAAAATGGAAAGATGAGTGTTGGTTGGTTTGGGAAAGGTTGTTAGTTATGCATCTTTGCTGAGTAAACAAAAATTATTTATTGGGAATGAAAGGGCAGGTTCACAGCTTTCTAGATGAATTGATGAAAGGTGATTTGCATTTGAAATGAATGTGGAAGCAAGAATACTGAAATTGATTTTATTTCAATGACTTTCCATGACCAAAAATGTGTGCATTAAGCTCTTTATGCATAAGCATTTTTAGCTTTTTGGCCATTTTCAAATATCTATATTTGCCATTTGATTTGCAATATCCTGATGATAATAGACTGTTTTCTTTACACAGTCTCCATATCATCTCTCCATGTAGTCTACAACTCAGTGCAAGAAAAAAATAATATAACACTATTATTTGTCATAATATTCTATTTTCTGTAATACAACCTACATCACTGGTCACAGCACCTGGAATATGATGCTGAGCATGGCAATAGTGTCCTCCATGGAGCCGGTACTCTTCCAGTCATGGCTCACAGACGTTATATTCCACACTCGTACATCGATGTGAATAATGCAAAATCACCAATTGATTTTAGTAAACCTCCCAAAAGATTTTTGAACTCGTGGTGAGTCTTTCCTGATGGCAGGTTTGCATCACCCAGCCTACAGCCAGATGTTTTCATGACGTAATGGTCATGTCACCCTGATCAAAGGGGTTAATTGTGTTTACACATAGATGGCTTCACAAATACTTAGTCAGCAAGTAGTCAACTAGTAGTCCTACCTACCTGACCCATTTACCTATAACTAATATTAATTGCATTAGATGAAAAAAATCCTGAATATTCAAGTAAGATCATTAGGCCTTTTAATTGACTTCTTCATAGCTGAACATTTCTGGAGCCATCTGTGTGCAACATCATTCACAAAAAATTAGTGGACAGTAAATGTACTTGCATACCAAGTGTTAAAGCTGATCACTCAGTTTGTCAGTCAGGGTCAGTCACATGAGTGCATGAGATTGAATGGCTTCAGAAGGATGTAAACTAGTTAGGGACTTCAGAAAAGGGCCCATTGTTGTTATTGATAAATTCAAATGGTGGGTCAGGATACATGACGTAGTTACTTGCAAATGGTAAAGGTATATTCAAAACAACATTGATTAAATCAAATATCACTTTCTTGTAGCTTGCTGTTTGAGGGATTACAGTAGTAGATTGGACTGCAGTTTGGTGTTTTGTAGTGGCTGATTGGCTGATAGTTTGAGACATCACAATGCCTGATTAGCTGGTAGTTTAGGTATCACAGCAGGTAACTGGCTTGCAGTTACTGCTTGGTTGGCAGTTTGAGACATTACAGCAGCTCATTAGCTGGCAGTTTAAGGTATGAGAGATGCTGATTAGTTGGCATTTTGAGGTATTTCACTTGTGTATTGGCTAATAGTCTTAATGGTTTTGTGACTGGCTGTCCTCAAATCAATAATTTTAATTTACAATACTCATTTGTACTAGTCTATCCAAGTTTACAGTGAAAGTATTGTATAAAATGATTTGATGATGGAAGTTTGTCTTTTTTTTGTATCAAAAAAATATCTACAAGGAGTTTGCTGGATATTTTTGGTCATTTTGTTCCTTTCATGTTTAATGGTTCAAACATTTATGGATATGAATTGAGATGTTGATCAATTTTTTTATATGAAAGAAAGTGATACCTAATGTTAATAATAAATCCTATATTGATTTGTTTAACCCAATGACGCCGGGTGTACTAAAGGAAAATAAAACTCTACGCTCTGGCAAACAAAGGCAGCGCGCCGACTTTGAGCGCAGGAGTACGGGGCGTCAGCCCGAATCACTGGCTCGCCGCGCTTTGGCGCGCCGCCGGCTGGTTTGGCCGCACGCCACCTTTCGAGCGATTTGTTTACACGCGTATCGCCGTCACCCGGCGGCAAGGGGTTAAAGGTTAAGACAAGGTTTTTGGCAAAACAGTAATATGATAAAATTTGATGAACAAGATTGAATAGGTTTAACCAGTTATGTATGCAAAGCAGTCACATTATATAATGTGAATGGGTATATTGTGCTAAAAGAAGTTTGAAATTTGAGTGACATATATATGTATGAAAACAGTGAGTAATCCTAAGTAAAGTACAGAAAGAGGAGGTTTCTAACATTGTCCTTTCTTTTTCAAGAAGTTACTATTCAATGTAAATCATCAAACAACAAAGGGAAGTACAGGGAAACATGGCCTTTTAACTTTACTGCTTCATTTGTGTTCACGCTAGTGAAGCAGCCTTCAGTATAATCATAGTTTCCCCACCTCTGAACCTTCCATATGCAAACCATTTGCTGCTTTTAACCCATCACTGCCGGGTGAACAGAAATCCCAGAGCGTGATAAACTGGGTGTGGGAGTCTGCGACATCAAGCTGAATGTCCCGCTCCATTCCCTCTGGCATTTTGCTGTGCGTACAGGCGTATCTCACAGACCAAGCAGTTTCCTTGGTTATGCCGTTACAAGTGACCCATCCAGGTCGGGTTAAATATAGATCATTTTTTTATTCAATTTTAGTTAAACCTTATCTTTACAGGCAACCACTTTGGTGTGATTAACCGATACCCCTTTTTTTACTTTCTTTTTTTCTTTCTTTCTTTTTTCATATGCAGGAGCATCGCAAAATATCTCCGGCAGCAACAGCAACTCCCTCAAGCGCAAATATACACGCAAGTTGGAGTCACGCCGTCAGCCGAAGATGAAGAGCCTGACTCCAGAGCTGTCCTCTCTCTCCTCCTCCTCGTCCTCTGCTTCTCCTTCTGCATCTGCATTTTCTGTCGCTGCTTCAGGAGATGCTTCAGTTTCATCAGGCACACCGGATGACACCTCTCCAACTATAACTAGGGTAGGCACTGCTAAACTTTATGGCCTGTCGATGTAAATCTGCTTTTTTCTATGATATTTATTCAGTTCATTATCCATTTTACTACAAGGTCAAAGGTTTCAGTGTTGCTGTGGCTGTCATACTTTTTTTTTCTTTTTTTTTTTCCCTCCCTTCTCTTTCTCCTCTTCCTTTCTCTTATACTGAAATTTCCTTAATCGAAATAAAGATTTTAATGTCTGCTCTCTTTCTGCAGCTAGTTGTAAGCAATAATATATTAAATAATGGGCTGTAACATAGCCTGGCATCAGCTTTCCTAAATAAATCAGCCATAGGTGAATAAAGACTCTCCCTTAGTACATGGGACTTCTAGTGTAACCTTTGATCTGTAGTATATATTTTTTTCTGTGTAGCATAATCTGTTTGATGTGGCTTGTGATTTATTATTATTTTCTCCTGCTATTTTTCAATATCAAAACTCTTCTCCCTCTTGTTTGATCATTTAAATAGACAGTGTATTTAACTACTTTACCTAGTTGCAAGTCTTATTGTAGGATCTGAGGTGCATCATTTTTTTCTCTCTTTTTTTATCATTATTTTAGATTTTTATATGTTTACACAAAGAGCTTTGAGTGACTTTAGTTACCCATTTTTATGTATGCTCTTTCTTTATTATATTTATATTCTATATATATATATTGAATAGGACAAATGTGGAGTTGTGCATTTTTCAACCCTCCAGATGTGTTGTTGCTTATCTACTTCAGTACAGTAATAATTGTAGCATTTG